CCCCAAAACCCCAAAACCCCAAAACCCCAAAACCCCAAAAAATAATTGTTTCGCTGAAATAACTAAAATAAACATGAATAAGAACAGACTTAAGATGAAGGGTAAGCTCTAGCATGACCAGTAGTTACAAAAAGTATGCCAAAGAGAAGGAAAGGACTCATTGCTATTCCAACAAGTGATAAACAGTTAAAATAAGGAAATGTTTCAATACAAGAAGGAGAAAAGAGTTTACAGACCCACTCATAATCCTGTCAGAGTCACCTCTCTTGGAGGTGTTGAGAAGGTTGGTTTGGTGGTAATAGTTTAGAACTCAATGAATAAGTTTAAGCAAAGGGGATACCTTATGGCCTCTAGTCAGTCTTTAGCAGATTGATTGAAGAAATAAAATCTTGAAGGATAAAATTTGTAGCAAAATCTGCACTACTAATAAATAAAGTTCCAGTCTTGCATATAGATTTCTTTAAATCCTTGAACAAGACAATGAAGCATGTTATGGTAAAGAAGCCAGATCAGACCGCAAATTATCAGACAATTGCTTCTCCTCCAATTTTTACGTTCCGAAACGTGAAGGATATTTCTAAATTGCTAGACATTGTTCCAAAACCTGAGTAAATACATGTATAATCTCTAGTATTCAAAAAGATAATTTATAGAGGTATCCCAACGGTTGTCTAACTTCTTGTCATAGGAACCTCGGAATATGAATTCTGTATCATACCAGAGTAAACCTGAGGATGTTATTAAACTAAAAATTCCAAATATTTCCTCTACTGGGAACCTCAAGATCCCTTCTAGAAGGCCTGGTGACCAATGTAGCACTCCTCAGGCTTGCTTCTGGAGTAAGGGCATTAAGATACCATCGAAAAAGCTTAAGTTTTCGAAAGAGAAAGACACCTCTAAGAGAAGCACTGTGACTTCAAAACTTCTCAAAACTTTCCATGAGGAAGACCTACTTGAGGAGAAATAGGAAGGAACTGTGGGATAAAATACGGACTAAGACAGCCTACAAATTTGGCACAAGAAGAAATCTTGCCACTTGTCATACTCCTAGAGTTCAGGTAACACAGAGGATCAGCAAGCCTAAGCAAGAAGGAAATAGTCCTTTTAGTCCGTTTAGCATTGAGAAGATTGGCCAAGAGCTCGATTTTAACTTTACCACAAGGACTAAAGAATTTTGGGAAACTCGAAGTACAACGAAACATAAAAATCGGAGGTAAGAAATACTTTACTAAAGATGTTTTATTTAAGTAAAGCAATTCTTCTAACAATATTAAAACAGTCGATCTACAAGCAAAACATGTGTTACATCATACCTTCTCGCTCCAAAACTCATAATCACCACTTTCTAGGCTTTCAAGTATCTTCGTGACTTCAAACAAGGACCAATCTCCACTCCATCTATCCACCAATGCCGACCTCTTAGAAGGGGAGGGTGAGATAAGGAAGGAGTCAAAGCCAGTGGGGTTTATGGTATAGGTGGTTTTGATAGGTTTAGGACCCATGAAGTGAGGTGGATGAAGTGATTTGGAACTGAGAGCAGTTTTTAAGAGGTTAGAGGGGGTAGTGTTGTGAATGTATGAAATTTTTCAATATGGAGAAGGAATTTAGGGGTTTTGGGGTTTTGGGGTTTTGGGGTTTTGGGG